AATTTTTGTTTTCAAAACGCTTTTAGTTTTTTGCATAGATGGGAAGTGGGAATTGGACAACAGCTATTGAGCAAGCCGTTTTTTTTAGTTCTAAGGGTACCATAAAAATCTCGTGAAAAATCCGTAATTTTAAAAAGGGGTTTTATGCAGAGTGCAGCAACAAGACAATACAGAGTACGTAGGTGGGAATGCCGTACATGATAGTACAGAACATATATGGGATTATAGGTGCATCTCACAGATGCGTGAAAGCAGGTGATCCAGTGAGCTAAGCATGTCGCGTCCGAATGTGAAGACGAGCGGTTCGAATACAACCATTTTCAAAAAGCGGCTCCGTCCACAAGAGATGTCCCTTGAAGGGGCAAAAAAATGCAACGATTAAGGCACGAAAAAGACAAGGCGCTTTTTTTTTTCAAAAAAAAAAAAAAATTTTTTTACTAAAAAGCAAGCAAAATTGCTACGAAATTTCACTTTAGAAATTGAAATAAATGACCAGTGCACCGACTGCCGGCGCGAAGTTGTCTTTACAGTTCCAGCAAGTTTTTTTTTTACCAACTGCACTGTTTTTTCCAGCAGATGCTTCTAGCTAAAAGGATTGAGATAGGCCACCATGACCGTCAGAAAATCCCCTTAAAATTCCAGCTTTCTAGCTTTTCAACTTCCCGAGTTAGCAAATTGCCAGCCAAAAATCCTGCGGGCCCGTACATGAGAACCACGTTGGCATGAGAAGCTATTTTGGGGATAGGGACCCAACATGCATATTAAGTTGCCAAAGCTCCAGCCCTGTGGCTTTTGCAAATCTCGAGATGAAAAATCGGTACAGATGTGCAGACAAACAAACGGACATGCACACAAACACACATACGCACAGACAGCCCCTCGACAATATGCGTTTTGCGTTGCGTAGATGCAAAAAAGGTATAAAAAAGGCTAACAGGGGCAAGGAATGCAATGGGTATCATCGAACACATCCATAACATCTCTTCTGGCCCGCCGTCTACCGAGAAATATTCGTTTACGACACGGACAAGTTGGGCAGGCTCTAAATCAAATTTACACACAAATTGGCAAGATTTAATTGCATTCAAACTGCACACAGTTGCTCCAATTCAAATGGATTTCAAAAAATATCCTGTAACACTTCACTCAAAACGCAATATGAAAAGTATGCAACTTTGGTAATCCCATGAATTGTAAACTGCACCATCTGAACGAATGTTTGCTACAGAAGCTAGTAATAAACGCCAACGTGCAAAGGCACAATTTCACGGCACTTAGATTTCCAGCAAAATTCGCTAACTCCTCCTAGCTTCACACCAGCTACTTTCATAAATAACGTTTTTTTGCTAATGTGGTTCGTCTATCTGATGCAGTTTTTTAAACATTTTGAAAAATTTTTTGACAGTTCAGCTTTGTTATGCGTTTTTGATGTGCAACAAAAAAGCAATGAGCAAAAACGCATATTTTCGAGAGATTGTCCGTGTATTTGTGTGTGTGTTCGGGTGCGAGTGTTCTCTATCCCTACTTTCAACTCAGCAACCGAGAAAGCTGAGATGCTGAAATTATGGGGCATATTCCGATCTTTTGTGTCACCTAACGCTCATACACGCCCAAATCTCGCATACGCACTTCCGAAAAAATATGCATATTTCTTTGACACGATTTCATGAACCGGGTAAGATGAAAGTCTGAAGCTCTGAAGCGATATTCTCTGTCCATGTGTGAGCTAAAGCTTTCAAACTCAGTTATTATGCATGACTGTACCGCACGCACGGTTATGCGAAAGTTTGTAGTTGGCACTGTGCCAGTGGCAATCTGATGGAAAACAGTAGCTGAAATTTTGTCAGAATATCTATCGTCCATATGAAAAAGTGTATGCCTAAACTAAGCTTCGACTTACACTTGTACTACGACTAAGGGCACTTGAAATATATTTGTAGCGAACTGGCTATTTCGCTTATCGGATAAGCCGCGAAGCTGAAATTTTGTAGGGATATTATAAATTCACATATGGTCTTAATTCAGTTTGGAGGTGAAATCCCCCTCAGCCTTAATTTCATCCTTTTTACATATTTCTTATTAACTTTTACTCATTCATTTTCAATACCCAACTATTAACATAAGACACATCTCTCATATATCTGCCTACTAACTTTTTTGTCTACTTTTTTATCTCACTAATACCACACATACACATCATCTTTTTTAACACTGTTCTCCTTTTATGTCTACCCAACTTATCCCCAATACCTCTTTCCACTTTTCTTACTTCTACACCTTTTTACTTTTGTTTTTATTCATCTTTCTTTTAATGCTGTTTAACTCATACAATTACTTTACATC